ATGGGCGTACGCATCTATTGTTGACCCCAAGTACTTTCCCAAGGGTGCCGGCCTTGAACAGGTGGATGTGATGCAGCTTGGCAAGAGCGTCAATTTCTGCGTTGCTCCCTTTGACGGTGCTCCACTATGCAAGATTGGCGACGATCGCTCGGTATTTGCTACGAAAGATCAAGCAAACCAGCTATCTCACGACCTATGCAGAGTCCTTCGACACAAAATCGGCAATTGCCGAGGAAGTGTTTTCAGATGCGATGAAGGTGGATGGGTCGACATCGACGCAGTCATTGACGACCGAAATAACGACATATTCCCACCTTCAACTTCGAGAGCAAAACGATACATGGGCATCATGGAAGTGATCAAGTGGCAGGAGTCCGGACACAAGAAATCGAGGTTTCAGGTCCTGGCAGCAAGGTTTCCAAGCGTCATGAACCCGAATGACATGAAGGCGGCCAGGGAGGAGATGAACTATGCTGGCCTGGATCGGGATGACATCGACAGGATGTTCAACAGATGCGATGGATGGTACAGGCCTTGGTGCATCCGAGTCACAACTGGTCACAGTGATTTTGGATTCATGAGCTCATCCGCACTGGCAAATGAGTATTCTGCAAGATTGGGTGATTCTCTCGGAGGAGCATTCCATGTAACGTATGTGGAGAGCCTGCCGAGCATCGTACGCTTTGGGCTAATCCCCGGCGGGATCGATGGCGGAAACAGGCTAGCATTGCACTTCGGAGCATTCGCTCCATGGGATGAGATGAACGTAGCAACGAAGGTGACGCTACGAAACGTAAGGTCGGGGGATCCGATTGCGATCATCTACATTCCCAGTGCAACCCTCGCGCGGTATGGAGCTGGAGTCGCGGCAAATGGGACATTCATGGTCTTTGACGTGATCCCGTTCTATGAGGTCAAGTCCATTTGGATTGGCAAAAGCAACGGAGGGAAGCGCCTGGAGTACGAGGACGTCAAGCGAGCGTACTCGAAATGTGTGGAAAACGAGATCTGTCCGGGTTTCGTTGATTCATCCCAGGAATCGGCTGCGATGTTCCTACAGAACGTCGCGAAGATCAACGAGAGGATGCCTGAGACCGAGGCAGGTGCCGACAATCTGCACTACATCAAAGACATGGTTGATCGTGCATGCAAACTGTTTCGGGAAAACAAGCTGGAGGAGTTTGATGCGCAGACCAACGAGATCAGGGACGAGATCAGCAAAGTCGTCATCCTGAATGACGTGACATGGGAAGGGCTACGATGCCGGATATGTCCGTCATGTGCGACCGCGATTCCCACATGCTTCTGTGTGTGCCTGGAATGTGGGGCGCAATTGATCTCTACCGGGAGATTTTGCATCCACATCAGTTCCGACGACGATGGGGACAACCAAAGGCCCAATGTTTCGGGTGATGCCAGGCGCGCGCAAGACGAAGCCAACCATGGTGCGGCAGCACAGGAAGAGGATGATGAGGCGGAGAACGTTCCTGAGGACGACGACATGGACACGCAAGGATACACGTCCGGCTACATGTCTGAGGAAGAAGATGGCGGTTGGCAATACCGCGACAATGACTTGGCATCGCGGGATATCATTAATTCCCAGCGGATGGCGATTTGCCTTGATGAGCCGCGCGAAGCTCAATACATGGCGGGATTCATCGCGCTGCAGATGTCAAAGATGTGGGGGATGTTCGAAGGTGGTGAAAAGAGAACGATCGATGCCGCGCTCGAAGGGAAGCAAGGCTGCCCATACCACAACGACTTCAAGAAGTACCCCAACATTACGGAGATTGATCAGGAAGGGATCCTTTTGCCATCGACGGTACTGAAGATTTCTCAATCTCAGAACGTTCGAGAAAGGACCTTCCGGTCGGCTGAGGAGCGTAATGAATACATTCGTCTGATGGTATGCAAGTGCGAGGGGCTATACATATTTTACAAGCTGTGGATTGCAGCGAGAATCCTCGACATCACCAAAGACGAAATGAAGCTCCTGGTCAAGGATCGCGTGCGCCCGGTGGGTGATATCATTTACAGATGCTTCTCCCTGGCTTTCAACTGTAAATATATATCGTTCGTAAGGGAAGGCCGCAGACATGGTTATTCGGTCAATGTGAGCGCCATTATTGCAGCCACTGACCCGAACAAATGCGACACACCTCTGCTGGATTGGTGCCTACGAATGGGGCATTGGATGCCAGAAGATCATCACAAGAAGTGTGTCCGGGCGCGAGAAGCCCAAAAGAATTTGGACGAAGAGTTCCGTCGACGTACCCACAGACTGTCCATTGGGGACAGGTATGCGTAATGCAGATGTGGATTATTATTTCTTCTGTGGTGTGGTGCGCCCACCAACAGCGATACATATATTCACTCCGATGTTGATTGCGGCATGATGTGGGCTAGTCCCCATCTATTGCTTGCGTCTCATCAATGTCATTGCGATGGAACGACTCTACATCATGATATGATTTCATGCGTCCAAGATGAATGGATGTGTATACATTTACATATTCCGACGGCTATGACATTCCGGATATTCATGGATGGAACTATTACCTCATGGATGATTTCCTTTTCATTATGTATATATTATTCATGGTACCTGGAATGGCTATGTTTTGCATGTATTGCTCACCAAATCTTCTTTGCCGATGATATTCAGATGGCTCATGACCGTGCGCTGCTATGGATTTCTATGGCCAACCCATTTCTGTGGATGACGGCTGCTCGATGCGCAAATGCGGCAGCCGGGATCTCAAGTGGTTGCGTATTGGCTAGAGGCAAAATGTCTCTTGCATCTGAGTATAGGAATGTGCTACGATTTGCGGATGCATGTTTCTGCCTTGATTGGACCTGGCAAGTTTCACAATGAATGGACGGTGTAGCAATAGTGAATGAAAGAGTGTTCGACACAGTTTCGTAGCTGAAGCCGTGGCCATTGGAACGTTTTGTGGTGTTTGGACCGCATGATGAACAATGCGACCCAAATGGGGGATGTTAAAACCCTCCTGGCCCCGTGCCTAAATTGGGAAGCAGTTCTGAGGTCCGTGTTTGTGTTGCTTACAAGGTTCCATTGATTGCCATTTGGCTCAAGTCACAAGTGAGGTTCAAGATCTTATGTGTAGCTGCGTTCATACGTGATCGGCAATTGAGAGCGGAAAACACTTCGCTTGCGCTGCATTTGTCAGGACCACTGTTGTAACTATTATTCCTTCTCCCTTACAACAGTTACACGGGTTCGGCTATAACGGTTTGACCGTATACACCTTTCTACGTGGTTGTTCTACAGCTGGAGGGTTCGGTGGACAGCGTCCCACGGGACGTCACCTTGCCGTCTCTTGACAGAAATTAACCTTGTACAAGCAGGTATGGCTATTAGGGTTATTCCAAATTTATAGTTGGGGGGGAATATAGCATATAAACCATTATATGAGAGATATATTCATCGATGTAGTGTTAATAAAAGGATGTGAAAATCATTTGTGTAGAAAGGGTTGATAAGTTATTCTAACCATATTGTTGTTGAAGCTAAATTGGATAAATAAAAGTTGGTTATTTTTTTTATCTATACTAATCAATTATAATATAAGCTAACACGGTAAAACTTTTATAGCCTTTCATTGTATTATACTTACGCTCAATAAATTAAATACTTATTTTTGATATCTTCTATTTTGTTAATTTGCTTATCTCTTTCAAAGTGCGTTGTTTTGACCTGGTATGCTCTTTTGATCTTTTTGTGCTTTGACTGTTTGTTTTCATTTTGCTTGATACTCTTCTGTTCTATTTTGTTGGTATGTTGTTTTGTTTTTGTTGGTGTGTGCTTTCGAGTTTGGGTTCTGTGATGTTTTTTGTTTGTGTGTTTTGTTGGTATGCTTGTTTGATTTAATGAATTGTTGTATGCTGTGATTCAATATTGTTTGTTACTGGTTGTTCTTATGTATTTTGTTGAGTTGTTGTTCTGATGTTTGTTTGCTGTTTGTTGTGTTGCCGTTAGAAGAAAATAGCAAATAGGACAATTCTTTGAGATGTCTATTTTGTAGAGGGGGGCTGCGCCCCCCCCCCCCAGTAGAGTATCTTAGAACCACGAACCAAAACACAAACGGAACAAATGCGCAATTGCAACCGAGAATCACAAAGCCGAACAACGGAAGCGGGGAAGCCGAACCACACCCCGACGCGCTGTTCCTGTCGTTCCCACTTCGTTTCCCGACTCTCCGCTGTTTCCTGACTCACGAAACCTTGTTCTCTTGACTCCAAATTCTTGAGAGAGCCCGGCACGCTGTTCCTGCCTTTTCCGGGCACTCACGAAGTTCTTCATGTGACTCCAACTTTTCACAACGCCCCGCTGCCTTGTTCCTGCCGTTTCCACGTTCACCGATGTTTCCTGACTGACAAACCTTATTCGCTCGATTCCAGGCGCCCCACGGACGGCTCCCCGACGTTTTCTTCCTGTTTGCGGGGCCGTTTCCGTGCCTACGGCCTACGGCCGTTTCCTGACTCACGAAACCGTCAAAGCACCTTGACGCGACCTGACCTGTTTCCTGACTTGGACCAGCCCGCTTTGTGACTTTGTCCAACCTGTTTCCGCTTCCCCCGCCAGTTCAGGGGCTTTGAGGCTTCTGGGAGATAGGCCCAAGAGTCGCGACTTTCTGTACGAGTTTTTTGGTTTCTCGATCGCAAGAGTTTTACACGTCCCGTCCATGACTTGACTACTTGAAAGACTCTAATTTCTGGCTGAAATGACTGCAATCTCGCCCACATGCTTTCAAACGATCGCTACTTGCGTTCTGTTGTGAAGCGAGCGTGCTTGGGCTTTGGTCCTTGTGTGGTGGAATGATTGCACTCGGGGTTCCTCAGACGATGTGCTCCTCACTTCGGCTATCAGCATCAAGTTTCATGGTATGTTTCTTAGCTTGGCTAGGTAGTTGTGGGCGCACTGCCTCAGCTCAAAGACAGTCTTTGGTCAAGTCCAGGCGGTAAACAGCTTTAAAGGTTTGCTCTCTTTCCTATTGCAATGGGCACCAATGTCGGACCTCCTGCGTGTAAAGGAAGAGGCTCGCGAGGCTGATGCAGCATGGCAGGCAGCAGCTGTGCTCTCAGATCTCGTGGAGGGGCTAGAAGCGGCAGAAGGAGAGGGTGAGACTGCAGCGGCTGAAGCAGCTGAAGTGGCTGAAGCTGCAGCGGCTAAAGCGGGTAAAGCGGGTGAAGTGGGTGAAGCGGGTGAAGCAGCAGCTGCGGGGAGCAAAGTGGCAAGGTGCGATGCGAGCGCAGTGCCCGTAGCTCCCGTCGCTCCTGCAGCTCCTGAAGCTCCCGCGGCGGAGCCTGACAGCGACGAGGATGTGGCAATCCGCGCGGCCTCGGCCCTGGGGTCTTTGGCGTCGCTGATGGAGGTTGCCGTCGACCCCAGGCGCCCGCCCGCTTCGGCAAATCCTCTTGGCCCCGGGCAGCCCGGGCAGCCCGGGGCCTCAGTCAAGGACCTGCGCGCCAAGCTCCAGGACAAGCGCGAAAAGGAACCTGAGAGAGGCAAGGCGACAGCCTCAGAGCAGCTCAGGGCCAAGCTAATGGAAGCAAAGCAGAGACTGGCGCCACAAGCTCGGGAGCGTGCCCCGTCTCCGCCTAAGAAGGACAAGAAGGACAAGAAGGACAAGAAAGCCAAGGAGAAAGCCAAGGGAAAAGAGATAAAGGAAGCAAAGGAAGCAAAGGAAGCAAAGGAAGCAAAGGAAGCAAAGGAAGCAAAGGAGGCAAAGGTGCGGCCCATGCCGAAGCAGCAAGCGCTGCCGTTGGTCTGTGACGGGAAAGGTGACTTGGGCGCGAGCGCTGGCGCTTGTGGGATTTTCCCGCATTCTAAGGCTCGGGCAAGAAAAGAAGGGAGAGTGACGCCCGGGAAGGAAGGGAAGGAGCGAGAGGAGCGAGAGGAGCGAGAGGAGCGAGAGGAGCGAGAGGAGCGAGAGGCGGAGGCGGAGAGAAGGGCTGCCCTGGAGAAGGCCAAGGCACGGCGCCTGGAAGAGCTGAAGGAACGGGAGGCGCAGAAAGTCCAGCGCGAGGCCCAGGCGCATTCCAAGGCGGCGGCGCGAAAGAAGAAGGAGGTGGAGGACTCCGTGAGAGACTTAGCAAGGAAGCTGTCCCAAGACATCCTGGAGATCTCCGAGATCATCAATGTGGAGAACATCAAGGAGGTGAAGCGTGAAGGGAGGGATGTGGGCCACTTTGGGGTACCTGGCGTGGCCAACATGGAAAACATCAAGCAGGAGGTGAAGCAGGAGATAGCAAAACAGGAGTTGACCAAGAAGGAGAGTGAAAGCAACCCGCATGCGCCGCATGCGCCGCACGCACAGAAGGAGGAGCCGGTATCCCCGGAGTTGTATGCCCAGCAGATGCTGCATCTGAAATCCATGGCTTCTCCAGAGGCGCTGGCCTTATCCTCCATGTCCTCATCTACCATGCCCTTGGCCGAGAAAGAGGTTGACCTCACAACGCCCACTGTATGCACAATCGGTTGGGAGCCAAACGTTGAGCCGCACGTAATGATCCGGCTTTTAGAGGACAGCATGTTTGCGAGACATGTTGCTCGGGCCACATGGTTTCCACATGGTTTCCAGCCTGTTAGCGTGCCCAAATGCCCGAAATTGACACGGCCATTGGCCAGCGATAGGAGTACCACATCGGGTCGATCATCGATGCCCGCCCACCAGAATTTAATGCTGACGGCTTTGGCCATGCTTGTGCAGCACATGGCTGGACTTATGATCGACAGCCAGTGCTTTCCATTCATCCGTATGACCTGGGTCCTATGGGTGTGTATGCCTACAACACCATTGGCCGGATTGTCAGCCAAGCACGAGCATCAGCCGCTGCTTCTTGACGGCAATGCAAAGCCAGAGCAGTTACGGGGTGATCGCTTTCTGGATTTGTGACACGGTTATTAAGGCCAGCTAAGATAAAGAAAGCTGGGGCAGATGTACGAAAGAAGTAGTTCCAACATTGAATCGATTGTTCTTGTCAATATGTTTGTTTACACAGAATTCCCGGATTAGAGAACCCGGAGACCCATCGCCCATCACTTCTTTTTGCTATCATGCTGCCTCACTTCCAGGTCGGACGGCAGTATCCAGTGATGTTTTGTCACCTGACGCTGTGAAGCTCAGAGTTTTTCCAGCTTTGTCAGCATAGGCCAAGCGGTTCTGACATTCTTGGGCTGAAGGCTATGGGTCTACATAGTGTTTGCCGATTTTGCAACAATATGAGTCAGCGTGCCTCAACCCTTGTTCCAAGGCTGGGAATGATGGCAGCTGCAGGCGGCAGTGCATCCTCTTTGCTGGCGATCAAAGCTGGCAGGATGAGTGCAATTGGCACATTGTGAAGCGGCTCCGTGGATGTACCATCGATGTGGTGCAGATCAGCCTGGATCGGTACTGGGATGAGGCTGCAGTCTTTGAGGAGACAGACAAAGGACGCGCGCTTTTGTGCTTGGGCAATCACCACAGGGCCCGTTGCATGTGTGCCACTTGCTCGTATCCGTTGCATGCTGTGCCCGTTGTGTCCGTGTGACTTCGTCCCTGTCAGGCGGTGTGATCGTGGCGGGGCCACCTCTGACGCAGGTGGTGGATGAGCTGCGGAGCCAGGTGGGTTTGCCGAAGATCGGGGACGAGCGGGACCGGCAGCTGATGGTCACGGCGCGGGCGGGGCTGGAGACATGGGTGGCCAAGAAGCTGAAGCACGACCCGCGGCTCTCGCAGAAGCGCTCCGAGCTGGGCCCGGAGGCCACGCTGAAAGACAAGATCGACGGGCTCCGGGAGTGCTGCCCGGAGCTGTCCCGCGTGGTGAGCATGGCCCACTTCCTGCGGATGATCGGCAACAACTCTGCGCACACTGGCGGCGCCGCCATCCCGCCACGGCACCAGCTGGTGCAGCTGGTCCAAAAGCTCACCGAGGAGATCAAAGAAGCCGATGCCGTGGCCAAGGCCCACACCGAGGCCGACAAGAAGTGGGAGCAAGCGGAGCCCTTTGCCGCAGCCTTGGCCAGGATCGATGCGACGGCAATGGCGGCAACGGCTTCGGTGCCACGGGCGCCAGCGGCTCGATTGCAGCTGCCCCAGAGCATCATTCTGCCCACGGACGGGGAGCACAAGGCAACCCTGGTCTACTTGCACCCATTTGGGGCAGGCAATGTGAGATACTTGCAAGGCAAGAGCGCCTTTGGAATGCCGGGCATGAGGATTGTGTTGCCGCTGGCGCCAAACATCCCCATCACGGCCTACAGCCGAAGACAGTGCATCAGCTGGTTCGACTACTATGGAGCCGAGGATTTGGAGGCAGACCCTTTGAGCTTGGAGGATGTGCGCGTGCGGCTTTCCCTCACGTTGGAGCGGGAGGCAACTTTGTTGGGCGAAGAAGGCCACAAGCGCCTGCTGGTGGGGGGCCTGTCGCAAGGTGGCGAAGCTGCACTTCACGGGGTGCTCATGCATCACCAAGTGCTGGGCGGCTACATCGGGGTTTGCGCGAATTTGTTGCCTTGCACCCTGCCGGAGGGCGCTGGCCGCACCAAACTGCACTTCTTCGGCTATGACCGCGAGCCCAAAGTTTGGGCTCAGCAGACTCGGGACCCCTTGCTCTCGCACCACAAGCTGGTGGAACACGGTGCGGTCTTCGGCGAGTGTGGCGCCTTCAACTTGGCGAAGATCGATTACAAAGTGGAGGCAGACTGCTTGCGCTGCGCGTGTGAGGCCATTCTAGAAGCTGCTGCCGAGGAAAATGCTGCCCCCGTGGACGCGCCTGAAGATGCGGAAGGCGACTTTGATGGAGAGGGCGGAGAGGGCGGAGAGGGCAGAGATGGAGAGGAGGGAGAGGAGGGAGAGGAGGGAGAGGAGGGAGAGGAGGGAGAGGAGGGAGAGGAGGGAGAGGAGGGCGAGGGCGAAGGCAAGGCCGAGGAGGACCCCTTGCTGAATGAGATGGCGGCGGCAATCGGGGTGGACCCCGAGGTGGTTCCACATTTGGAGTACCCGGACGACGACATGGGCGACATGGAGAATTTGGAGATCCAGATGGAGGTGGATTCAGATGACGGTGTTGTCGGCGTCGGCGACGGCGCGAGTGCCGACGCTGCCGACGCTGCCGATGCTCCCGATGTGCCGACGCTGTTGATGAGGGCAACTGCCAAGGTCATGCCCGCCACCAAGCGTGCGCGGATCAGCTACAAAACCGAGCAGATGGCAGATCCGGAGGCCAAAGGAGGGTGCAGAGTTTTTTTTGTCGCGCCGTTCACCCTTTGCTCACCTGTCTTTGCCATGTTTCTACAAGTCCCCTTCTGCATGTTTTCCCCAAACAGTTTACTGTGAGGGGTTCTAAATTCATTTAAAGTGACTCGCCTATTGCCAGACAACGCGAGACAGATGAAGGGAGACAAGGGCAAACAAATGAACACGTCCCAAGACAGCCGGAATGAAGGGAGACAAAGGGAGACAAAACACCCAGAGAGCCGTGCCAGGCATCCAGGCTGGGAGACAACGGATGAAAGGAGACAAAGGGAGACAAATGAACCCGTCCACCAAGAGAGCCGTGCCAGGCACCCAGGCTGGGAGACAACGGGAGACAAATGAAGGGAGACAAAGGGAGACAAATGAATCCGTCCACCCAGAGAGGACAAATAAAGGGAGACAAAGGGAGACAAATGAATCCGTCCACCCAGACAGACAGGGAGATAAATGGAGACAAATGAACCCGTCCACCAAGAGACTGGCACGGCTCTCTCGTTGCCTGGCACGGCTCTCTGGGTGGACAGGTTCATTTGTCTCCCTTGTGTCTCCCGTTGTCTCCCAGATGTCTGGCACGCCTCTCCGGGTCCCTGGATGGACGGATTTTTTGCGGTGAATTCCGCGGGCACGCGTGTTTGTTTGCGGCGCAGAAACAAGTGTTTGAGCGCGCGCATGCGCTTGATCAAGCCGCAGGCAGCATGCCGCGGATGCACGCGTGAGTGCTTCAAGTGAATGATTGTGTGTTCGTGGCGTGCTCCACTGACCACATCGGCGCGTTGCAAGTGAACTCGCGCTTTTGGCATGTGACCGCACGAGTGTGCACATGTTTGTGTTCCAGGTGAAAGCATGCGATTGTTCTGATGAAACACATATGCGATAGGTCAAACTTCTTAGTAAGGGAGTTTATAGTCTACAGAGGCCACTGTCGCAGCAGTTTTTCATTCATACAAAGCGGAGCCCTGCAAATAGCAATGGATTGCCCGCTCCCGACTGGAAGCGCTTGGATGTCTCCATTGGTTTGCGCTAGGGCCTGCCGCTATGGGCTTTGTGTGTGTGTGTTTCAAGGGTGTAATGTTGCAGTATGTTGCAGTTCTTACTTAGTACTTGAAGCCAGCCCGCACGTTAACCTTCATCTTACGTGGCCTTAATTTGTCAAATCCACACAGATGGTCGCCGTGGCTCCAAAGAATACGGCGAGCCCGCCCGCGCGCTAGCAAGGCGCTAGCACAGTGGTTAGCTGCGTTCCCAGTTACGCCTCAATCCAAATTTGCTTCCGCTCTCCTCGCGTGCAATTTCCATGGAATGCGATTTGCTGGACAAAGGGGAGAAACAACGGCTGAGGCAAGAAGGCAGATATACCTTGTACCGAGAGTACGGAAGAATTGGGTTGCGTATGTCCATGCGAAAACAAACGCTTTACTGAATCGATACGAAGAGTCGCCACAATACGATAAACGCGCTTTAGAGCATTTTATCGAGGAACAAATTGCTCGATACGAAAGACATTGTGCAGCGAAGCGAGAAAGAAGAGCAATGCGCCGGAAAGCTTTTGCTAAGCTGAAGGCTGTAAGTGCTGGAGACGCATCGATACTGATAGCACTAGCAGTAGTAGCAGCAGCAGCAGGCTCGCGCGCTAGAAACGTGTTGCAAAAAAGCTAGATTGATCGCATACGAACACTACTTGGAACATGCGTATAAAAGACAAAGCGGAAGTCCAAGCTGGTTTGGAGCCCAACGAGTTGCTGTTGGCCTACCTCGATGATGTTTACATCGTCGCTCGGCCCGACCGCGCCCACTTCCTTTTTGATCGCCTGTCTGAGACTTTGTGGCGCACTGCGTGCATCCGCCTGAACCATGGCAAGACGCGGGTCTGGAACGCTTCTGGCCGGGAGCCCCCTGGAATCTCCGCACTTGCTGTTGGGGAGGATCCTGTGTTTGTCGGATCGCCTGCCTTGGCCCCCGCCCAGCAGGGTCTCCGCGTGCTCGGCGTGCCCGTTGGCTCCCCCCAGTTTGTCGCAGCTCAGCTCGACACTCTCGCTGCGAGCCAGCGCACGCTCCTCGCTCGTCTTCCCACCTTGGAGGATGTGCAGGCTTCTTGGCTGCTTTTGCTGTTCTGCTGCACTCCTCGGTGCAACCATGTCCTGCGTTTGCTCCCACTTGAGTCCACGGCAGAGTTCGCGGCTGCTCATGACCTCGCTGCTTGTCCACCCTGCTTCAGGCAGGCCCGTTGCCCCCGCAGGCGTTGGGCGTTGCAAGGTCTCTTCGGCTTGGTGGTCTCGGTCTACGTTCTGCGGCCGCCGTCGCCCCTGCTGCGTATTGGGCGTCTTGGGCCGATAGCTTGCCTCTTCTGGAAAGGCAAACGCCTTCGCTTCTTCCTGCCCCACTTGCGCCTGCCTGAGGCCCAGGCCCCCTCCTTGCGAGCTGCAGCCGAGGCGGCCCTCGTGCTGGCGACCCCAGCTGAGAGCCCCCTACTTGGCAGGATGTGTTGGCTGGCGCTTTGCCGGCCGCGCGCTCCGTTGATGCTGACAGCTTGTTTCTCAGCGGTGACGCAGCCCGTGGGTGGCAGCGGCATGCCACTGCGGCCTGGAAGACCGTCTCTTCCAGGACCTGTCCCTCCACCTTGACCCCTCTGCGCTGGCGCTGTTGGAGTCGCAGCAGGGGCCCTTCGCTGGCCGTGTTCTGACCGCTCTCCCCACCAGCCCTGAGCTCACCGCCCCCTCCCCCCACTCCCCGTCACCGAAAACACCCCATCGCCGTTTGGACTCCCTTGGCGACCACTGTGAGCGTGTTCTCGGGCGGGTGTGTTGCGGAAGTCGAATGGGGTGTGCCGTGAGGCCGGGTGACCACCAACACCCGCTTGGCCGATCTCAACCTGGTGGTTGACCACGTCGATGACCGGCGCCTTGACATCATTGCGAATGGGTTGTCCTTGCATGGCGGTGCCCAGCTGGCTGTCGACACCACTTTGGTCTCGCCCCTGGACTCTGCGGGCCAACCCCGCCGCCGTGCGGGGCGAACGCGGGGCGCCGCTCTTGTTGAGGCGCGGTTGCGGAAGGAGCGTGTCTATCCCGAACTGCTGCGGTCCAACCGTTGCCGGCTGGTCGTCCTCGCGCTCGAGGCCGGTGGCCGCTGGAGCGAGGAGGCTGCAAGCTTCATCCGCCTCCTTGCTTGAGCAAGTCTCCTCGTCCGCAGATACGATGAACATCATCTCCCGATTGCAGAAACTGGAGAAGCTTATTGTCGAACGACGGAGGCGAGACATGGATGACTCACCTCTGTCGGTGCACATTTGGATGTCGCTCTATGACTGGGTGCGCATGAGGGGTGTGGGTGGCAGGTGACCGCCAACCCCATCATTGACTCCTTGCAAAAGACGATATCCGACCTCGTCAACACGTGCAGGGGCTTGGTCGTGGTGTGCGTGAATCGCGACGTGGCTTTCCATGGAGGAAGAGGGGACTTGGGGACGATCGCCAACAAGGTGAGCGAGATCTGCAAGGCGGCAGGCGCGTTGGTGACCGAGAACGATCGCCTGTGGCGCGTTGCCCACGCGCTCACAGGTAAGAACTACAAGATCCCTGGAAGCTCGAATCTGCAACATTTCCTCTTGAAGCGATTGTTGGTGGAGAAATCCATCGACGTGATCGCGCCAAGCAACGCGTTCGTGTGTGAGCTGGAGGAGACATGCATAAGCGAGCCCGACCTTCGCTTCAATATCCCGAAGAACATGGAGGAGTCGAAGGTGAAATTCGAGTACAAGCCGACCTTCACTGCTCAATCGAAACGGAGGCAAGAACGGCAGGATGAAGGACACGGCGGACAAGATGCGTTTGGGAACACCGATGTCAACGATCAACGTCTTCGATGGTATGCGGTCACCGAGCTCAGTGAGTTAATCTGCGAACTTTGTGTGAAAGAAACGCAGATGAACAAGTCGAAGGTGCTCGGGTCAAACTCAAAATACAATCCGACTTCTTGCGTGAACTGTTGCGCGAACTGGAATGCGGACACGAACGGTGTTGTGAGATCAACCGAAGGGAGGAAGCTGTATACGCGACTTTTCGCAGAATGCGTGGTTGCAATCCCGGATCTTCAACATCTCATGGTGAACGTCAACAATGTTCAGGCCATGACCACGATTATACGGGAGCTTGCATATTCCAAGCTGAAGAAAGAGCTATCCCACGTGGGTTTCGGGAGCATGACAATGGATCAGGCAGCACAGTTCTACAATAACGGACACGGGAAGCAATTGTGTGCATCCCAGATGTGATCACGCAAGAATTCCGAGGGAGTTGAGGAGAGGACCTCCATCTTTGTGATAGACAGAGATCTTGGCAACGTGGCCTATTCATCCTGGATCAAGAGCGTGCTTGATCAGGGGACGATGTATGATCTCCTGGGACAAACTACGAATGAGGAGTCCTTGGGGGACGTCGTCGAGATGATATTGGGTTTCTTTGAGGTGATGTCGTACTTTCAGCACGAGCTTCCATTATGGAAAGATGCATGGAAGATCAAGAGGGAGTTCGAGCAATCAATCGTACGACACCTCGCCGGGAACGTGAGCCACACGACGGGCCAGAACCGAAAGCGGAACAAACCGTCCGCCCAGCTCGGGGCGCCCACGAAAGAAGTGTTGGACATCATGAACACGGTCAAGCCCAGACATCCGCGATCCCTGACGGCCGAGCATGCCACCCAAGGATCCAAGAGGAAGGCAACAGAGAGTGAAGGCAAGTGCCAGACCCGAGCCGAGGCTCTCAGCCCAACGTTGAGAAAGAAGAGAAGAAGCAGCGAGTGATTGATGGGCGGAGAGCTGCACTCGAGTTCCTAGTCTCAATGGAAAAGTGCATGGGAGAGATGGGAATTTGCATGAGATGCGCGAACCTGGCCCACGACGGCGACTGCAAGAACTATGAGGAGGCTGCTGGGAACGAGAAGGCGATGAAGAAGATCCGTGAGCTTCT